TCCCTTTGAAAACACGTTTTAGATCAACTCAAACCACGATAATCAGTGGCTGAGTTCGAAAGAATAGTTAATGCATTTAGACACATTATGACCAAAAAAAAAAAAAAGTAAGGCGTCACTATTGGTGATATGGTTACAAATCTGTCACATATGGCAATGTATGGTGAATTTGTTGATGGCAAAATTTTTCTTAAACCTAAGAGATAGTTAAGTGGTAACATGGCGAGTCAAAATTCAGATATCTTGAATTCGAATCTTGATAATTCTTAGAATTAGGCCACAAGAGAATTATCTCTCATGAATTAATATCCTAAACCCGACATGGATGGTCTGTTTTTGACCAAATCAGAGAGAGAGATTAATCGAGTTATGTATAAATTTACCTGAACACCTCTTGTTTGAAAAAAAAAAAGTTTTTCCTTACCTTATTTTTTTTCCTTTAATCTTCAAGAAGGTGCAAGCTTTTTGGCATGCTATACAAACACTGCTTAACCCAGAAGCAGAGGGGAAAAAACAAAGGATCAAATCATAGTAGGGGTATTTTCCATGTCAATTACTTATTCTTTTTGCCCATGCTTGAATGAATCTCAATCACCCATTTGCACAATATGAGAAGCATTATCACCCAACATCTTTTTGTTTTCTAATGGAAACATATAGGGCAGCCCGACATATGGCCCCCTCCTCCACTCAGCTGGGATTTCCCAAAAACCAGCGATCAAATGGTCCAACCTTCTCCTACAACCAACTATTCTTGGCCTTAATTTCTTTCTTCAACTTCCTTCCAATTGTTCTTGAACAAGTACTACCAAAAAGTTTAAACTTGCAAGAACAATTATGTATTTCATTGGCGTGCTAGTTTAGTGAACTTACTTTTGTTAAGAAAATAACATACTACCCAATTGAACTTTGCACCTATTTTTAATGGAGAGAGAGAGAGAGAGGTTTTCCACCTCTATTTCACATGGGTTGATACCTTATGGATGAGCCAACCACCATTATTATTAGAAAATAAAAACTCAAAAGCATTATAACATCCATCCACCTAACTTAACCGGAAAACTAAACAAAGTCGCAAGTAAACAAGTGAAGACAAAAAAAAAACGGTGCCCATTTTATATTTGTAACATATATTCCATACGACATTTGGGATCTAAGGCCCATTTGGCCATCAAAAGTGGGACTCAACCTTTAAGCGTGTGCGCGCGCGCGCACATACACATATATATATAATAGTCAAGGTTATTTAGATCAATTTATTCAAATTTTAATTATTCTCTTTTGTGGTCCAATCAAAGACAGACTGTCCACGTTAGGACTAAAATATTCAAGAGGAATAAATCCCTCATTGTCTGACTCCAAAGGATAGTCAAGATTCGAATTCAGAACATCTAAATTTATAACTCGTCCCCATTACTATTTGAGTTACCCCTTGAAAATTTTTAACTTACTTTAAAGATGTTTGTACTATTGCATTGGCATTTTGTTTTTGTGTTTTTTTTTTTTCAAAAAAAAATTGACTGAGCCTTAAGAAAAATGAATTTACAGAACAATAGCAAGAGGACTATACATGCTGGACTGGAGCATTCAACACTTGCAAAAAATTATTGAAAGGTCCCCCATAAAGCTAACAAAGTGTGTCACTCAATCTTTTTTATAGTTATAGCAAAAAGAGCAAGGAAGAAAGGCATAGTGGGAGACAAAAGAAAGCAAATGCCAGCCTCGTGGTCTGCCCCTTTCTTGCTTTTGGCATTCCCCAAACATAAAAAGCTTGAATTAATGGCCTTTAAACCTGGTCCAAGACAACAAGACCTAAATGAAAGTATTCGTATAATAGTATGGTAATAAAAATTATTTTTTTATATCATATTGAACAATAAATATAAAATTATAAATTTTATTGAGTTATATATAGTCATTGATCATTAATCTATTATTTACAAAGATCAATCAAGGTGGTTCAATGGTTAAATCTAAATAACTAAGATGTTTTAAGTTCATTTTTTTTACACACCCCTTAAGGGTAAGTTATCTTTATTCTTTTAGGGACATGTTCTAACTAAATTCAAGTCATTGTAGCCAGCTGCTGAATTCGAAAAAGTAATCGGCGCATGCCTAAATACCTGTAGAGAAAAAAAAAAAACCGACCATTCGGCCACTGTATGTGATTGTGTTTGATCCGCCAATCAAGCAAAAGCGTGTTTACAAGCCTCCAACCCCATGTGCTTTAGACCCCCACAAATCAGCACAAAAAACTGCACCCATATTCAACCCATGTGTCACAATCTCATCATGGGTTCCTTCACTATCTTATAACCAAGTTTTGAAGTTTTTTTATGCTTCTAAGACTAAGGCTGATCTTGTATTTTAGCCACTTTTGTCCTCATACATGGTCACTTCTGTTCTATAAGTAGCTAGATCAAACCCCTTCTCTTCCCCCTTGAGTTAGAGAGAGAGAGAGAGAGAGTAAAAAGGGAGACAAAAATGATGAAGTTGAGATCAAAAAGGTTCTCCAGAAGCAATTCTAAGATAGGTAAAGGTGGCAGCGCAAGTGGTGGCAAAGGGTGTGTAACCGCCGGTGAAATCAAATGGGAAGTTCGTCCCGGTGGTATGCTTGTTCAAAGGAGAGACTGTGGAGAAGGTGTTGGACACGGGACGATTACAGTTAGAGTCTCAACTGTTTCACAGTGGCATGATATATCCATCCAAGCAACTTCAACATTTGGTAAAAATCCTCAAACTTATAAAGTTACTTTTCTCTTTACAGTCATTTTTCATTATCCAGAAAGATAATCTCTAGATTATATAGGGCATCTTAGTGTACGAGACTCTTGGGTTTTTACCGATTTTATAATATTTCTCTTCTTGTGTTGTTTTCAGGGGAATTGAAGATGATACTGTCATTAGTGACTAGCTTAGAACCAAAAGAACAAAGGGTATTGTTCAAAGGGAAGGAGAGAGAAGATTATGAACACCTGCACATGGTGGGTGTTAGAGACAAGGACAAGATGCTGTTGTTAGAAGATCCAGCCATCAAGGAGATGAAACTCCTTCAATTGACTGGAGGAGCAGCCATTGGGACTCCTTATCGGACCATTAGGGTCTAAGTTAACACTTGGGGTTGTTTTTTTTACTAACCACTTAAGAAAAGATTCAAGTGTGGTGATGAATATCTTCCATAAACTTGGCTTAGATTAGAAGGCTCATTGTGTAATATTCGTGTTTGTTTGTTTGGGCATATCAAATGTATAAGCTGATACATGCCCGAGTCATTTTGAATAGTTTACTATGTTTATAAAATGTTGGTTCCATCTACTGTCAACAATAATGTTCTCTCTCTCTCTCTCTCGCACACAAACTGTTAGGCACATATAATTAAAAACACGCATGCATGCGCACAATTAAAGATGAAGCATAAAAGAATAGCCAAAGTGAGAACATCAAGATGGTTTCTTTTATAGATTGCTTGCTTCAAGTCTAAGAAGAGCTACATTGAGAGCAATAATCATTACTAATGGATGATGAACCCAATATTCAAAAGGTGCTTTAAGATGCATATTCACATTTGATTTGAAGAGCTACATTGAGGCAATAATCATCACTCTTTTTTTTTTTTTTTTTACAAAGCAAATAAATTACAATAGAGCTCCAAAAGTTAAAGGATAGAAAGCAAAATTTTCATTAAAAAATAGCTCATTGCAACCGAGTCTGATAAATAAAATACAAAAGATATTTTTTGTGTAAAAAAGACTAAGTAAATAAAAATAAAAGAAAACAAATGCCCCTCCTAAATTGAGAATTCAAACAATCTATGGTATAAAATAAGAATCATCTAACCGCCATCAACATCTTTTTCAAAATTATTCATATTGCATAGTACCATTTGACATAAGTTACCGTAAGAAAATCTATCAACAGCGTCAGAACACAGATACCCAATAAAAACCCACCATATGGGCCAATTTACACAATCAAATTTATGGGCTAAAACACATCTAAAGAGGCTTGCACATTAAAACGCCCATGGCCCAATACTGAAGAGGCTGAAAGAGAAGCACGGGAAGAAAGCCCATTCCCTTCTAATTGGTTCACGTGGGAATCTAACCGTTCATTCGAAAAAACTAAAAGTCCTTGATCCGATGGCTGTCACGTTTCTAGGGAATAAAATCACTTGAGTGTCCACGTGTCACAACCACGGTTTTAGTCTTTTGGCACCAACATACCCCAACAAGTGGCCAGCATGTGGGCCCTCACCAATAGCCAGCCCACAATGGGGGATGTAAAAGCCTTTTTGGTCTTGAATATGACATGACCAACTTTACTTATTAGCTCAAGGCCCCCATTTTGCAAAAGTAAAGATTGATTAGTTTTTTTTATATAAAATTAAAAATAATATAATTTGTTAAAATAAATATAAAATGAATTAAATAGTGTTAGGGACTGATAATGATAAGATTTTAGGTATGGACCGCCATAATTAAGAGCTCAATAGGTTCGGAAGGCCTCTATTTGTAGAGTGACCCAAACCGCTCACCTGTAGTTTATCCACTCTAAAATTAGAATGGATCACGCCCAAAGAATAAAGTCCGACAGTACCTGAAGGATTGAAGTCCAGCCTAACCCCAATCCAGCTAGTAAGAGGTAAGCTCAGGATCAAGGAACTGGCCCCCTTGTCGATCCTGAACCATTCCCATCTAGCCACGTGTCTAGAGGATAAAGAGACCATTTCTGACATCTATAATGAACACGCACTTTTTGTCACAAGTATATTAGTGCGTGTAATCGCTCAAGGGCTATGGATCCAGTGGTGTCATATGACAAAGATCACTATTTGACAAAAGCAAAGAGACCCACAAAATCAGCAAAAAGGAGGAAGAAGTAATACGAAACCCTAAAAGGATTACCTGTATAACCTGTGAACCATACAAATAAGTCTGTATTCTTTAAGCATTTTATTGTAAAAACTCTATGCCAAGCAAACTAATGTACTCTTCTTCTTCAAGAAAATAATATATACACTCAAGGAGTAAAAGACTTCTTTACAATGGACGTAACCTCAATCCCTCGGATAAAATAAATTACTTACACACTGTCTCTGTCTTTCTCTCATACTTTCACTCATTACCAACCCATATTTCTATTCTATCTCCTCTCTGGACCAACAAATAGTGGTTTTGAACTTAGACTAACATTTCCGAGTGCCATAAGGTACGAAATTAACTTTGATGCAGTAGGCGTAAATACTTTTTATGGCCTGTTTGAATTTAATTGGAGCATCAAGTTCAAACTAGACAACTAGTCTTACTATTGGGGAATATGCTTAAGGAATTCCAACAATACATACATAGTATAGGACAATACAGAGATCCACAAATTCAACAACCCATAACATTGAAAGCCAATCCAGAAATGGGTCTCTCCCACTTTGCTGGATGGATGCACCATCAAAGGATCAGAAGGAAATCTTATTTACAGAAGAAACTAGAGCTAGAATAGGTTAAAGTGTAGAGATTGAAAGCTTTGTATTTATTTCTTGTTTTTCTAATATAATTTTAATTTTTGTACCCAAAATAAAAAAAAAAAAAGGGGCTATAAAAGTAGTAAAAATTCTATTTGATTAAGACTAGAATGCCCCTCTTATTATGTAGATAAAGATACCGATTGGAGGCAAACTTTTGTTTTCACCAATAAACTCATTGGGCAATGATTTTAAAACCACTCCATGAAACTCATGAAGCCTCTATATATGATTTTATTAGAACTATTCATGTTGAGATGGGACGAAAATTTTTAATTTAGGGAAAATTAAAAATTATTATATTTTATCAATTTTTTTTGCCAATAAATAAAAGCTTGTACTTTTTAAATTAATAAAGACATACATACCAAATAGGCGATTAATAGGATATTGTATGAAAAATATGTATGATATTTAAAAAAAATTGTTTTCATTTATTGATTAAGTATTGTATGAATGTTAGCAGCACTGCAAAATTAGTGTTTTTTTTTTGGGGGTTTTGCTAGTATAAACATTAAGTGCTTTATCAGGTATCTACGAGTTGTGAGTTTGATTAATATAGAAAAAGAGCTTTATTTTTTGAATTTCGATTGATGAACATTAGATATCAATCCAAACATGATACAATCTATATATATATAAGAATAATTTCAGAAAATATATCACAATTAAACTAACATTGAATACGAATACGAATACAAAATAACATGTACGCAACATAATACAATACAACCCGTTGGGCAAACTAAAACAATATAGGAAATGTGATTATTCTTGGTGAACTATATTGCACACCGCACTTGAGCCATCTTATACATGGCCCATTATTTTTCTTCAATCTCGATCACCTTTGCTTCTGGTTTCTTCACCTCTTGTTTGGCAACTGTCACTGTAAGAACTCCATTCTCCACCGACGCTTTAACGTCATCAACCTTGGCATTTTCTGGCAGCCTAAATGTCCGAGCAAATTTTCCCCTCTTGCGTTCAACACGGTGCCACTTTTCATTTTCCTCGTAAACTTGTTCCACTTTTCTCACTCCTCTTAAATGAAGCACTCTGTCTTCATCTATTTCCACCTTCACGTCCTCTTTCTTCAGCCCTGGAATGTCTGCAATGAAAACATGGGCTTCCGGGGTTTCTTTCCAGTCCACCGGAGTACTCAAAACTGGACACTTATTCATTAGCGACACAAAAGGGTCGCCATTGTTAAACAGACTTGAGATTCTAGACATTAGTGTATGAAGGAGTTATGGTGTAGTTTGCGAATCAAAGGGTGAACAAGGCTGAGATGGATGAAGCAAGTATATATAGATGTTTGGTTTGGGTGGGGGTTCTTGAACTTTCCTGGTTCTTCCAGGTGATACATTATTGAAAGTCAGTTTAAGAATTTGGATACGAACATTCTAGGATTATATCAAATTTATAATTTTTTAGTTACATTATTATGGTGGATAAGAACATTCTAGGAGTAGGTGGACCCTAAATGTTGTAGGACCTTCGTTTAGGTGAATTGCTTGAACTTTCTGTTGCGTCATTGATGCGGTTTTCTGCACTGTATGTCATAATCAATCTAATTTTTTTTTTTCTGAAACATTATCAATCTAATAAAGGTGGGGATTAATCCAGAATAATGTAGACCATGGAAGAGATGTTCGATTCCCACATGTTTTAAGTTTGAATGCTGGATTTGACTAGGCCACCGACCAAAAATAAATAAATTTGCTACTGTACATTCAAAATTTACTATTTTAATGAGTATTTTTATAATTTTTTGGGTTATTTTATAATTAAAAAAATTATCACTTTGGTTGATGATTTATCACATTTGTAAATATTTTTATCAATATTATGGGTGTTTTTTTACCATGGTTGTGTAATTATTTTTACCACTTTTTTTCAGTACAAAAAAAATTACCATTTTTGTGGGTTTTTTTTTATTACTGTTGTAAGTATTTTTACTATTATTATAGTAACTATTTTTACCACTTTTTTTAGTATTACAAAAATGAAAAAACATTGACAACAATGATAAAAAAAATCACAAATAAAATAAATAAAGATATGATACCCATATTTTTTTGTTGGGTTACCCTAAACAACTCATTGAATGGTAGAGAGATCTACCGCACAAACTTATCAAGCCTATACAGATAACTGGAATATGAAATCATCAATAGAATTCACCCTTAAAACGGATTTGTCAAAAAAGAGTGCGTAAGAATGCTCGTACATATATAATCAAATTCATACTTATATCAATGTGAAACATTGAGATCATAACATATTATTATCTATATAATAAAGTAGCTTACAATCTAAATTTCAAAAGATAAACAAAATAATTTTTAGTATTCGTGGTTGAGATCGTTTTAAATTTTACTTTAAAGTTAATCTAACAGCTAATATTAACACTTAAAATTTAATAAGAAAAATAGGCCCTAAATGTGTGTTTGGATTGACTTTTTAAAATTATTTTTAAAAATTATTTCTTATAAATACTTAAAAAAAATAGTGTTTGAAACTGCCTCACCACCGCCACTGTCGTCGCTGCCACCACCACCATCGTCACCGCCACCACCATCGCCACCGCCTCCGCCTCCGCCTCCGCCACCCCCCACCACCACCGTTGTCGTCACCCCCACCCCCACCCCCACCACTGTCGCCGTTACCACCACTCCCTACCGTTGCTGCCATCACCACCACCCCTGCCTCCACAATCGTTGCCACCACCATTACCACCACCCCCGCCTCCACCGCCCCCAACATCGCCGACACCACCACCACGATCATTGCCACCCATCATAACCATCATCGTCTCCTACTACCACCATTGTCGCCCACTACCTCTCGCCCCACTACAAACCGATGCTTAAATATTTTTATCTCTTTTTTATGTTTGTGATTTAATTTTAAATATGAATACAAATATGTTTACTGTTTAATATTTTTTATTATTTTGTGTCTTTAGGCACAATCAATAACTAGTTCTTCTATAATCGACAGGCATTATAGGTTATCACATTGACATTAGATTCAATCTCTAGCCCATAAGTTATCACTACCATAACGAGAAGTAGGTCACACGAAAATATTCATTGCAACAGTGACACCAAGTCACGGCCCATGTCAGATCCGATCTCATACTATATGATGTCTTTTTATTTTTTTGGTAAGTACTTTAGATGATGTCAAACTCGTATTAAAATTAGGTTGCAAGAAAACCCATATCTATTTGTATAGTCAAATTTATATTTCACCAATGCGAGATGCTAAGAATTGTAACATATTCAATTGAGCACTTTCAATTTTAGACACTATCTATGAATCAAATAAAAAAATTGACAAAGAATCAACTGGTTTAGGTTGAGCCTAAATGGAACCAGATAATAAATAGGTGGCGTCGTTAGATTTATTAAATAAATTGGTTCGACTAAGCACGAAACAAATCCATTAATCACTGCTTATATACGACATGAACCCGACTTTACATATGACTATTTAAATGGTTGAGGTATGTGTGAACAAATTTTGAAATGACATAAACCCAATTATATACAAATATTAATGAGTTGAGTACGGATTGAACAAATTTTGACACAATATAACATTTAAAACTAGGACTTTAAGTCTTATAAATCTTCAAAATATGATTGACCTCGAATTTTTATATAATTTAAATACAACACGAACTTGATATAACTTAAAAGGCCTGGTGATGGACTTCAGAGACATCTATACAGTTTTGGACTCTAAATGACGTGCGAAGTATGCATTTTCTTCTCCAGGCCCAGCTTACAAAGGCAAGATGAAATTATATGCAATGCAAGAAGAGAACCATTTGGATTACCATCCAGTAAGCCTGGAATTGATCCTATTGGTACTGGCCATGAAAACCAAACCATCGAAGTGCGATTCACTCAAATATATATTATTTTTTAATGTATCATGTAATATAAATTCACTTAAAATTCATTATATACAAGTGAATCTTACTCTCAATAATAATGAATGATCGATCGGTCAATAAAAAGATCAAAGGAAAAAATATTAGACGAGATGTGAATCCAAATCATGTGCATTCCTTTCTCCCTAACCCCACCCAACACATGGGATGTGACCAGTTAATAAAGGCCATTAAATCTATCTGTACTCAGTTTCTATTAGGAGAAATTGCCTTTCATAGCCGAACGTTTGGTATCTCTCTCTATGATGGTGATTTCAAGCTGCGACTATTGAACAGTACAGTATCAAAAGAATACTGTTTATATGCAAACAAAAATCCTACAATTCTTTGTTTTCTTTCTCTTTGAAGATGGTGTAACATCCACCAACAAGTCAACAACCGTAAACTTTTTGTAAACATTGAGTATAATGTTATTTTATTAAATCATCTGTAACATTGTATCATCATTTAATAAAAAAAAATATATAGATAAAGCGAACTCTATTATTTTATGGAGAAGTAGTTAGTTAGAATTAATTATCGGATTAATTGTAGGTTCTAATAAATATTTGCATCCACTTTAATCTAATGATTATGATTGATGGAGTTAGTAAATTTAGACCTAAGAAATATTAGTCTTTTATTATTATTATTATTGAATGATGACGCTGCATGACGATGGCCACGTTGTCTAATATTTTCTCGTCTAACTTACCCAATTAAAACTGTGGTTGATGTCAGAAATGCATATTTATTTATGTTGGACTGGGCGAATGCCCATTCGACAGACGTCATGCACCTTCTAAAGTCATCCACTATGAAAATGAAAGCTTGAAAATTTTGTCATGTCTTGTTGCATAAACAATGAGATATTGATCCTCAAAACCGTGTCAGGAAGTCCACAACTCTCATCTCAACAAGTCAAGGGGCCCCTCCATGCCTAAGCCGCCTCTTAAAGCTTCTTTGATGCATATGCCCTGAGACTAAAGGAATTCTGAAAGATAAGAGAGAGAATCCATGATATTCCTATGGTATAAATTCTCCTCTCAGCTCCAACTTAAACATGACCCCTCTCATGTTATCAATGAAAATTCCCTCTTTTCCCTTCTACTTTTAAGTGGGTTTGTCTTCCTCGTTTGTAGGAAGGAAGGAGGGCAAGGGTTTTAAGGTTGTTTGGATGATCAAGATGATGATGAGGCTGTTGTTGACAGAAGATAGAGAGCACAACTGAACATGCTCATGAAACTTGTGTATGAACAGTCTTGTTCTCTCTATTCTTCTGTCAACCAATATTCTGCCGTTACAAGCATCTTCCTTCAGGTTTTCTCAGTATGCAACACCAGTCAAGGTAGTGTTCTTGAGTTGACATGTGGGTTTTTTTTCCTTTTCACTCGGTAACAAAAATAAGGGTGCGTCTTAGTACAAGGTACTAAGGTTGTATACTTGATTTGACTCAAGGGTGGGGCTTAATACAACATTAAAATTCTTCCAGTATAATTTGGGCGAGTCGTAGATACAGTCATGCGGAGGTAGGGCTGACCCATCTTAACCTCGTAGTAGCGGTACTGCGTGTGCATACTTGGTCACAAATTGCACAACTGGTGAACTCTTCCCATCCTTGCAGGCTAAGAAGTCAGAAAATTTTGCCAGTCTCAACCCTGAGGCAGGCGTAAATCCTCATAGAAGATATCTTCTGAAGTTTACAAGGAAAATATCAAAAAACCACACACACTCACACCCCTGGAACTGTGATTCAAGTATGACTGCATGATTTGTGATTATATATAGTCCATGTACAGTGTTTAAGAAATTATACTATCAGAATATATCCTTTGAAGCATTTTCTTTTTTGGACATCCTGCATTTTGCAGGAGAAATAGTAGGAGTATTTCTTTCAAGATGTGTTCTAGATCCCGGTGGTTCTGCCATTTCAAAGAAGGTGAGTTCATGCAGAAAGTAAGGCCACAAGCATTGATCATGAAGTTCCCAACATTCTCCAGCATTGTGTGTAAAAGACATTTCAAACTTCTCAGCACCAGGGCCACCAGGCATATGTCTCATAACTTTTATCTTCTTTTACACAAAATGATATGTATTATCAGGTTCTCATAATGGGCATGCTCACACAGAAAGTGCAAGCTTCATACCTCGAAAGCTGTCTAAAGAAATCCCATGTAAACCTTTGTCTTTTGAGTGTGGTGTATATCATGGACGAGAGAGGGGGATTTGGAAGGGAGAAGGGCAACTGCGATTTGGTCTTGTTATTAAAATTGTGTTTTCGGTACAATTATTTATTAGTGATGACAAAAATTGAATTTGACAAACACTTTGTATAAAGGCTGACAACAAGCAAACTTTGATTTTCTACCCTACCACAGTAGCAATTCCTGGTATGGAATATATGCTTACAAGATCAGAACTTTGTTCAGACATGGCTACCTTACATTATCATAAGCAAAAGCTTAGTAAAAATGTGGTAACAATCCCATCAATTGATGAACAATTTTAACTTAGATTATCTGATCTGATCCATTTTTTCAAGCTGATCGCATTTGCATTTACATTTGTACAGTAGTTCTATACTTTTATTTTCTGGGGATAGCTCCTTTATGACAAGCCATCCCAATTTATGACAGCACGGGCAAAATGGGAAAAGATGAAAACCAAAAACCAAAACCATCGGTACACCTATCTTTTCTTATCAGTAATATGATAAGTTCCAAAAGTAGGCACTCTCAATTTTTCTTCACGAATCTCCCCTGCAAAATTGATCATGGCGTTTATGAGAAACTACAGGACTCAAATTGAACAGAACATTTAAAGTTATCAGGGGGCGAAATGCAGAGTACCTTCACACGAGGGCGTTTCTCAGCATTGAGCTTTCGAACTTCATATCGAATCCTCTTAGAGAAGAGCCTATTCTGCCTCTTCTGCTTGTATCTTAAAACACTAGCCTCTCTATGTGCCATCTTCCATTCGTCTCCTTCTTCTTCTACTTCTTCCTTCACTTTCAATTGGCCACTGCTGCTCATTCCACTCATCTCCGGAACACTCCACAGCCCTCCATTGTTTTGCCATCCATCTCTCGGTCCCTAGAGAAGATACGTATGCCTCAGCCTTTATAAATAAGTACAAAACCAAAACTGGAAACATGAGAGTCACAGTGACTTTTGGGTTAACAAATCATCTCACATCTACCTCAATGAATGCACAAGACATCCGATATACATAATTTTTTATCCTACTATTTGATCCTGCTCACAATAATTTAGCTAACCTGCATTTTATAAAAATTAAAAAACCAATAAAGAATCAATCAGTTTCGTCATAAATTCATATACAAATAGATAATATCTAGATCAAATCAAGTCTGAATTAGGGCAATGTTTGTTTGGAGACCTTGTCTTCTCGTCTCAAACCCTCTTTTTCTTTTGGAACTTCCCCAGCTATGCTTTTTAAAGAGCCTGAATTTGATGCGAGGTTTGTGCTTCTTCTATGAAGCATGAAAGGCCTATATGATATATAATAATTATTTATTGGATTTGAGTCTGGATTCAGTCCAATAACAGGGTTGGTTGCAGCTGTGAACCAACTTTTCCTCGGTTGCCATTTCCAATATGTTCCTTAAAATACTTTTTTTATTATTCAACTGAGGTGTTCGAATCAGTTTACGCACACTTTGCTTAATTTTGTTTTTTGGTCCGAACCAAGGCTGGTCAAGATTAGAACATTCGTGTAAGATAAATCCCTTATATTCTAGTCCCCAAAAGTTGTCAAGATTTAAACTTAAAATATCTAATTTTATAATCCGTTCAGTTACCGCTCGAACTACATTTTGTTATGTTCCTTGAAATACTGAGTGATCATCAAATTTTATAAACAATCCAAGTGGTCAGATCCAAAAGGAATGGAAGTCTGACTAGTAAGTATCAAACAACAAATGCTGCCAAGCTGCACCATAGCGACAGCAAGGTAAGGTGCACCAGGGCCCCAAAAAAGGTGAAAAAGTGCTACATCTACTAGAGCCTGGGCCCAAGATTCCAGTGAGCAATTAATGGCACCTTTCACCATTCACAATCACTGCACCCCACAACAACTGACACGACAACAGCTGAACCATTCCACACTCTATCCCGGTCACCAGCTCCATTGAAACTCATGTTTATTTCTTCTTTCGTTCACCCTCAATCCCAAGGGAATGACTATGGTTGAAAATAGTCAATCATGACTCAATCGGATCAAATTATAATTTTCAACTCAAAAAGCTAGATCAATCCTGGTCCCATAATAAGTTTCATTCTAAATCGATCCCTGCGATCTCATTTAGTCATAACCACATCCTCATCCGATTGAATCATATCAATTGGTTCCTAACTTTCACTGTGATATTAAAAAAAGTAACCCTCCGGTATCATAATTTTTCCCCAAATTTAGGATCCTCCCCATTGCTTACAATAATTAATGATCCATGAAGCAATTACATGTTAACCAAATTATTCCACTATATGCACAACAAATCTATAAATCAAAGGGCTCACACACACACACACACAACATGTAGACATACAAAGCAGCAGGAACTTACATTGGTGGTGCCATGGCCGAGGAAGTCTTCATGGAGATCAGGAACTGTTTGTGGAGGCTCCGCATGGATATAAAGCGAGCCCTTTTGAGACCAAGCATTCAAGATCTCCTCATAATCAAGCTTCAACGACAACCCTTGATGTATACGATTTCTCTGTTTCAAATGATCAACTGCAGAGCTCGTGACTTCCTCCTCCTTCCTCTCAACCACCTCCGAGTAACACACCCATTTCTCTTCACTCGAGTCCCTCTCTTTGTTCTTCATGGCCGTCCGTACAAGTACTTCACCGTCCTCGTTTGAGTCCCTGTAGGCGTACGGTGGCGGCAGAGGGCTTTCATCTTCAGAAGAAGACCCGGAGGTGCCAAAAAGAGCGGTCAGAGTGGTGGCGCCTCCGTCGGCGGTGGAGAAGAAGTTTGCGACGTTGTCGTCGTGGGTTTCCTTGTCTTCGACTATGCTTTCCGGGTGAAGTGGGAATAGATTGAGTTGATGCTTACGGCAGTCATGGGGGGTGGTTGTCGTGGCCATTTTGACAGATTGTTGAGTGTTTTCCGGCGAAAGTTCAAGGCGTAAGCTGAGAAACTTGGGTTTTTTGGTCTTTGTCCTGGTTTTGCGAGCGGGTTTAAGGGTCCTTACAGTGGTTTCTTTCTTGCTCATAGAGATGAGTTTGGCTCGTCTGATGCTAAAAGGACTGTTCTTGCTGCACATACCCTTCTAACGTCTGTGTCTCTCTCTCTCTCTCTCTCTCTCTACATGGACAAAAGTCGGGAAAAGTTACGAAAAAGTGTAGCTTTTTGGCAGAGACTTGACCTTTTGGGAGGAGAGAGAATGGGTCACTTTGATGATTGTTGTTCTGTACGAAGAGATGATATGGTGGTGATGTGGTGCTTTTTATGGACACGTGGAATAAAATCATTGGGTGGAGGCTGGATTTCGCTCTGGTAGAGGTAGATAGAGTGGGCCGTGTGTGTGTGTGTGTGAGAGCAAGCGACTGGGCATTGCTATTCTGCGCTTGGGTGCCATAAAGTTCCACTCCCGTTGACATGCTTCTCACGTGATGATTTTAAAGTATTTAATACTTATATAGGTGAATATATAAATATTAAAATAACAAGAGTTACATCAGTGATATTATTATAATTGCAAGTTCCAAAAAAAGATCTGGCTAATGACAATGATTTTATTATAGACACAAACGAATAGTTTAAAAGATTGATGACCCGTGTTCAATGTTTGGCCCGGAATACGTTGACGGGTGGATAAAATAATATCTGTAAAGTTAGGACAAGACTATGATGCCGTTAAAAAAAAATTGGTACTGTACCATTAAAATTTATAAATTTTGTGTATTGAAATACAAATTTTTGAATTTATTTACAATAAAAAATTATAATTTGATCCTTTAAAAATTATAAATGATCCTCAAAGATTAAAAATATAAATGACTCTTTAATTTGATTTAAAAAAAATCCATAAATCTTGATAAGTTACCAAATTTTTTTATTTCAAAAATTAATAATAAGAATTTGGATAATGAAAAAATAAGAAGGAAAACCAAACAAGAAAGGAAAATAAAATGATAATAGAAAAATGGGTCTTACATTGTGATATTTATTCTATTTTTACCTGTTTTTCAATAGAAGTATAATATATGTATGATATTTATTTATGTAATATAATTTTTTTTAATTCAAAATGGATTACTAACAGATCAGGATTTATAATCTACATTCAAATCTTTTTAGACAACTCGAATAAGATTCGAATCAAATCGGATTAATGAATTAAAAATCTAATTCATATCCATTTGACATATACTCAAATTTGAATTGGATTTGGGTTGAAAACTGGTTCTTTGACAGGCCTACCCTCAGCAATAAGAACAAGTTTGGAATGCTTACCCAAGTCCATTCCGGGCCCATACCTACTAATGGTTTCAGACGGTTGGCAAGACCAATACTCCGCGATGAGATACTTGCATCCGTTTCTTTAAGAGTTGGGAATGGGGCCGCCTGGTCCGGTGGTTAATTGTTCGCGCACACCCATGGGCCAGGGCTGCACAGTGTTGAACAATTGGTGGGGTTGAACCATCACAGGAAATAATGGTCCAGTACTGATTATCAGGTTGTGCTTAACACTTTAACCCATTGTCTGTTAGGTTCTGGGATTGTGGGCCATCACAGCGGCCGTGGGCCTTTTTGCTACCTTTGTTGCGGCCTTTTTGAACATTTTTAGCGCCAAGCTGATGTAAGCATTGCATCAATCCTCTGCTTAGACTTTAAGATTGGATCAAAATTGAGAAAAACTGAGCAGTTCATTGAGAACATTGATGACCGGTTAATCTAGACATTTTTAAAACTTGCAACACCCTTGGTGTTAGACCTAAGAGATAAATTCTTTAGTATCGTGCTTGAATAACGTTGGTAAGAGAATTAGTTGAAATATGTGTAAATTAATTTAAACATGTTAATACTAATAAATATATTGAATTCTAACGGTAGTTTAAGTGATAATAAAAATGAGCTGTAAATTCAGATGTTTTGAACTCGAATCTTGATAATTCTCTTAAGAAAAGGTCACAAGAAATTTATTTTTCATAAATATTACAGTACAAACAAAAATAGTCTATCTTTAAATGAATCGATGACGAAATTAGTTAAAGTGGGTATTAATTGACCCAAAAATCCTCTTACAGTTGAAAAAAGAAAAAAAAAAAAAAAAGAAAGAATACAATGAGACAACCAGAAATTTGGGATGGATCCCACTGAGTGATAGGTGTGAAACGCAGAATAGCAGATCATCCATACACAGGCTGCACGTTGGGGCACAACGTGCAAGAACAATGATGGAAAGAAACCGCCACTGTACATTTCGATTCACAAGTCAAAAGTTTGTTCCGCAGTCAGTGGAAAGAAAAAGCAAGACGATTGACCCTGCTTCCTTCCTTCCTTCCTTTCTTCCATGTCAACAATTACGGTCATGGACTAATGTTTCCTTTTAAGGATAAGGTATCGATATACTTTTGTTTAATCTCCCTCATTAATTTTCAATCAAATAACTTGTAATTATTAATTAAAATATAATAAAAAATTATACAC